AAAAAATAAATAAAAATAAAAATAAAATAAAATATAAAATATAAAATAAGAAAAAATAAAAAAATTTAATTAAATTAAATATAAAAAACAATAATAAAACAAAAAATAAATAAATAAAATAAAATAAAAAATAAAATAAAATAAAATATAAAATAAGAATTAAAATAAAATAAAAAATACAATAAAATGAAATATAAAAAACAATAATAAAACAAAAAATAAATAAATAAATGAAAATAAAATATAAAATAAAATATAAAATAAAACAAAATATAAAATAAAACAAAATATAAAATGAAAGGATTTCAGCTAGTTACCAAGGTAACTTTTCTTATTTTAATTTAGTTTAACTTGATATACTAAAATAACAAAACAAAAACTAAAATAAACATTTATTAAAACTATATAGACTGTATATTAAAACAAAAAGGTTTAGGCAACAAAACTTTAGCTAAAAATAAAATGAAAATGGAAAATATAAAAACAAATTCAAAATATTAGTAAAAAATTAATAAAATCTCACTGATCCATAGTGTTGATTTTGCAGTAAACCGTATGTATTTTGTAACAAATACACCTTGTAACCAAAAACAAAGCAAATGGAAAAATATTTCTCTCTCGATTATCATCCAAACTTGCAGTATCACCCAGCCCTTTATTATCCAGCTGATTTGTGTTTTTAGTGGCTCTGAACTTGCGTGGTTATCCAGTGGTTCCTTAAGTCCAACTAGTCACTTAGATTACCCACTGACTAGTGGATTTCAGTAGTTGTGGAGATCCCTGCTAGATAATTCATGCTAAACGGTCTGGAGAAACACTCTCGGCAGACTCTCGTCCAGGAACCCCGGTGCTGAATGATGTTCCTGCGCTGAAACTCATCTGCTTTCATCATGTCCGGCTCAGAATGATTCATAAAAGCACATGAACGCACTGGTATCTGTGGGAAATTGATGACAGAACAGACTTCTTTAAATTAACCGAGAGCTTCATCCATCCTGCTCCATCGCTGGGCTTTTATGGGCTCCATCTCTCATGCAGTGGTCTTTTTTTAGTCCTCTAATGATAAGCGAGAGTAATATAAGATTAAATCTTCCCTTTGACACTGTAAATGAAGTGAATATGTAACTTGTAGTCTCTTCTGTTCACCAAGGCTGCATTTATTTGATCAAAAATACAGTACAAATGTATTCCTGTGATGCGCAGCTGTATTTTCAGCATCAGTACTCTAGTCTCCAGTGTCAAATAAACTGTTTTCAACATTGATAATAATCAGAAATGTTTCTCGAGCAGCAGATCAGCATATTATACTGATTTCTGAAGATCATGTGACACTGAAGACTGGAGTAATGATGCTGAAAATACAGCTGCGCATCACAGAAATAAATTATATTCTAACAGATTCCTGTGATGCGCAGCTGTATTTTCAGCATCAGTACTCCAGTCTCCAGTGTCAAATAAACTGTTTTCAACATTGATAATAATCAGAAATGTTTCTCGAGCAGCAGATCAGCATATTATACTGATTTCTGAAGATCATGTGACACTGAAGACTGCAGTAATGATGCTGAAAATACAGCTGCGCATCACAGAAATAAATTATATTCTAACAGATATTCACACAGTAAACAGCTGTTTTAAATTGTAATAATATTTCACAATTTTACTGTATTTTTGATCAAACAAATGCAGCCTTGGAGAGCAGAAGAGACTACATTGTATCTTCGAGTACCACAGTTATTTGGACATTTGTTTCAAGTCGTACCATCCTGTTAAATACCTAGATGCACCGTTTTCTCCTGCTGGACCAGAACATATGGGTAAAAATCCCACAGACACATTTATGTACATTTATGCATTTTGTGGATGCTTTTATCCAAAGAAAGGAAGAAACACTGTATGTTGGTGATGTTTTGCAGAGACAACTCCTCTTTAGTCCAAACATTGTAATGGTAGAGCAGCCAGTTGGCATGACAATGTTTTTTTTCTTCTTCTCTTTCTCCGAGTAACACAACACGAATTCTCCAAGTGTAAAAAAGAGAGGAGAGCTTTGTAAATTAGTCTCTTTCATTTTGATGTTATGCTCTTGCTGTTACAGCCTCTGCTGCATTCTCAAAGAGCTGCTTCATGTTGTTAAAAACTGCTGCTGCTGCCAGCACTTCAGTTTAGGGTTTACGCAAATGAACTGCATGTAGTGCAAAGTCTGTTGGATTAAATGTGCTGAGGAGTAACAGAACCGACACTGAAACACATGGGTTATGCTAGTAACTAATGCATTTCAATGCTTGTTTTCATGTTGGTGTTAAACATCTGCTGTCTTAAATTTGAATAATTTCTGTCAATTCAGACCTCCAAACGAAAATACAGTGTGATTTTCTGTGATTTCTAGAAGAATACAAAACGTAAATGAATGTTAATAATTTTATACGAATGCATTTATGCATATGCTTGCTTTGCATTCAAAGTATAAACTTTATTAATCCATGCATTTTCTTTTTATTTCCAAGTGTTTGTTTATTTGAACATGAGTTTATGTGCACTTTCTTATTATTTGCAATGCAAAATGAATTCTAACTACATTTTGCATTAATTGAATTCAATATGCAGTGTCGTGCTTTCACTATTTCTGAAGTTATTCTTCTGAGGAGCCTTTATTTCTTCAGCTCTCAATCACTGCATTATATGTTTGGAGCATTTCAATCTCATCTTACTGAGACAGATTACTGGAGATATAGAGCGACCGCTGATATTTAGATAATTTTATATCAGTATCTGCTCTACTGTTATAAAGATCTCATTGATTTACATTACAAGCAGCAGAATGTCATCATAGAAATATCAGCATCTGCTGCAAATTGCATATTTCTGAATAAAATTGAGCTGTTTTTACTTCATATTCTCACTATATCAGGTTACATGAGCCATAAAAGCCTGATGCATCAAAGAGATTATTTTGTCTCAAGCTTCAATAAACCGTTTTGTTTTTTTAAAGGAGGACTATTATTTCATATATCAGGCTTTATAGGGCTAAATAGGCTTATATAAGACATCTTGATATCTTCCTCATCTACTTAAACATCTCAAGGAGTTTTTGTCACCGTTTCCTTTGAATTGATCACTAGTTATTCTTTGTAAACAATGACTATGCTTTGAAACCGTGTGTATTCTGAAAATAAATGTATAACCTGTTCAAATCAAGCTATATATTGTTTTCTAACATTAATGAAAGCATCTCCTTCAAAAAGACTTGTTTGGCTGCTGTCCTTGGTGCTGAACGTCGCCTTCATAAACACTGAACAATCCACTGAGAACGAGCCTCTGATGCTTTTTCTGAAACATTTACAGTCAGCGTGAAAAGAGAGATGTCTCATGGAGACACATTCAAATAAATGTCATCCTTCTTTCAGATTAAGCGTATGTGCTGTAGATGTGAGTGCTGCATTGAAGAGCTGCTGGAATGTAATTGGGATGCTGCAGTGCACGCTGGGTAAAAGCCGTGAGTCACGTATGGAAATCACACCATGACTGGTTTTGTGAATGAAACTCCTGGCTGCTCGACAGACTGATTTCTCTCTTCCCGGAGCAGACGGATGCTGACGGCAGGCTTTCTTTCTAAGCACAGGCACTCATTACACACGAGCTTATATCAGAGCCGCTGCGCTCCAGTCGGAAAGCTTTCGGACATCGACGGGTTCTTATGGTAACAGAGACTCTCAGACTCTCTAACCGCTGGAAACGAGCTGCAGCAGACATCTGTACTTCTCTAAAGCCTGAGTCATGTTGTCTGATTTGATGGGGTTTCCAGCCTGTAACTGTAACTAAAACATGTTTTAAATGTAACGGGGATTGCACAAAATGTTCAAAGACAAAATCATGGGTTATTAGGGATTATATATTAATTAATGTATATTTATTTGTTTACCGATTATATATATATATATATATGGAATGTATCCTTTTCTTTTATATTTTTATGGGAATTACACAAAATCACAAGTGTATTATGATTTATTTAGCAATTTTTGCAAGTGGGACTATCCAGTGATTCTACTGGAAAGTATTTTATTTTTTTATTATAATACATTTTATTTTATATTTATTATTATAATACATTTTTATGGGATTACACAAAATGTTGAGAGAAAACAATCATGCTTATTATCAAGTTGTTATGATTATTATCAGTTATTATGAGTGGTGCTATCCAGTGATAGTACTTTTATTATATGAAAGTAGTATTTTTCTTTTCTTTTTTATTTTTAGTGCTTTTTCTTTTATTATACGTTTTATTATAATACATTTTTATGGGATTGCACAATTTAAAAAAATAATGGGTAATTTACTTATTTATTTACTGCAATTATTATAAGTGGTACTATCCAATGTATTATTTTATTATATATTTTTATTGACAAATTTTATGAAGTTTTATTTTTTATTAAAAAAAAATGTTTTGCTGTTTATTATTAGTATCCAGTGGTACTATTTTATTGTTGTTGTTGTTTATCAAGCCGAGTAGAAAAAATATTTTTCTCCAATTTATCTGGCCAGTTTTGGTCATGAGATGGTTTTCAACCCAACCTAGTCATTTTAGCACATCTTTTGCTTTTAAAATGTCTTTGCAAAAACACTGTCTCTGCATTAACATCTGCGTATAGCTTTAATCTTAAATGTGTTTTCAGAGGCCAAAACAACATGTTTTTCTTCGCCTTCAGTATCTGCAGTAGACACTGACATATCCTAACAGATAAAGAGGCGAAGCTCTTCTCAGGCTGATGATGCTGATAACCCCTGTGCTTCTGTGCTGTGTTATCAGACTGCTCTTAAGCTGATGGTGTAGTGAGCTGTGCTGCTCACAATCATTTCCACCTCTGCGGCAGACCAAAGACAAGCAGAAGCCCCTGCTTCCTCCAGCACTTTGCCCTTCTCTCTCAATCAGACCGGAGCTGACACGCGTCTGCGCATCTGATGCACATGTCTCATATGCGTTTCTCCGTTTGCAGAACACGGTGGCCATCGCCTCCATACATTTCCCGCTGGCTACCCCTCAGTCTGTGGAGAACTGCACCTGTAAGCTGCAGCTGATCGTCTTCCGCAATGGAAAACTCTTTCCGTGCACGGGGAATTCGTCAAATCTTGCGGACGATGGCAAGCGCAGAAGCGTTTCGACACCAGTTGCATTCACCAAATTAGGTAAGGCTTTGATTTTCCCCATGCATTTCATCCGTGCATCCTATATATCACTGCGTCTCACCACTAAAGTGTTTTGCAATGCGTTAGCGTCACACGCAATTATGAGAAAGCGCGCGCGTGCTTGCACGATGGTGCAACTGTTGCGTTGCAATTGTGCACGAGTTGTATTAAGCTCGTTTGCGTGCGCAACTCATCTCACTTGTCAAATTCTGAGATGTGCATGTGCGTGATTGCATGCATCAGCTTCCAAATGCATGCAACACTTGAGGACTTTCCACTCGGTTCGTTACTTGACGCAATGTGTTGCTCTCCTGTGCAGATGGGTGTAGCCCCGGGAGCCCCGTGCAGCCGGTTACCGTCGCTCTCCGGCACTTCTCGTTGGGTGTAGACCCCACCGCGGCATACTGGGATTTTGACCTGCTGGATGGACACGGCGGCTGGCGCGCGGAAGGCTGCCACATAACGGGCTCGGCGCACAACACGACCACCATCCACTGCGCGCACCACAACAACCTCGCCGTGCTCATGGTAAGAGTCTCCCGCTCGTCAGGTCAGTCCGGTGCACCACAGCGGTTTATGCATCCAAACAAGACGGCGAATGCGTGCGTTGTGCATCGAATTAGGCTATTTATCATGCATGAAAAATCAGTGTTTCTCGCATAATAGAGCTGGATTGAATCGAATTAGAGATGATTGATTCTGGTCGTGCGTGGAGACCTGAGTGGGTTTCTACAGTGAATGAAATGATGCTTTGAACTTGCTTTGAACTTGACGCGTTAAAGGAGGTGAAAGCGTTGCGTCGCCCGTTTGCATCGCGTGTTGTTTATCGTTTAGCTGTGCATGCGCGCGTGTGTGTGTGAGAGAGAGAGAGCTGATGCAGTCACCACACCCGCAGTCCGCAGTGTTTGAGAAAAAGAGGCTTTCAATCCGTTCGCGACGCGCGTTTAAACGCTAATATTAATCTAGAAACCTGAACAAAGTTGTAAATAAAACAATATGGAACATTTAATGAATGCATGAATAATGTAATTTCTAGAAACATGAAAATACAGTTGTAAATAAAATATATATGTAAAATTTGAATAAGTGCATTTAAAATATAAAAATATGAATTTAGAAACATGAAAATACAAAGTTGTAAATACAGTCCATCACGGCAATCCGCTAAATTTAAGGCAGCTCTGATGCTGCATCACTTTACACAAAAGTAAAGCAGCATCAAATGCACATTTTATTCCTTCATTTATGCTGCTTTGGGTATTTAAGCGCAGAATTTGAAGCAGCTTTAACTCACTCAGGCTATATACAAAAATGAATCAATGGAGGAAGAGGATAGTTGTCAGGATGTGCAGCCCGAGGTCACTGTAGTTCAGATGCATGTCTGCTGTCACGGAGCTCTGACATTTGGAAGGTAAATATCTGAAAGAGGTCACGACATCAACCCTTTGCAATGCAGCCGCTTTCTGTCCGTCTGCGGTAATGAGAGGAGAACAGCTTGTCTGGATTCTGCTGATGTCTTGAAGGTTGTTTAATGCACATTCAGCTGTCTTTCACCTGGATGCCGTTAGACACCTGCTGTGGCGCGCTGATAGCAAACACTATTGATTTCACATTGCTGCTTCTTCACTGCGTTCTGTGCATGAGAGAGCAGACAGAGATTGAAATCTCACAGCCACTGATTACTGCTTGTGTTTATCAGAATTACTTGACATGCCGTCTTTAGTGTTCGTAATGCAGCCTAGAAGACGAGAAATTGTTGAAATTTCGAGCTATATGTCATCTGCTTAACAATAGAAGACTAATGCAATGTTTCCTTAAGGAAGCTGTTAAAAGAATATATTTATTTACTCAAATAAAATGTGACCCTGGACCACAAAACATAAGGGTCAAGTTTTTGAAATTGAGATTTATACTGGATAAATAAGTTTTCCATTGATGTATGGTTTGTTAGGATCGGACAATATTTGGCATGTGTATGTGTGAGAGTGAGTGTGAGAGTGGGTGTGAGTGAGTGAGTGTGAGAGTGAGTGAGTGAGTGTGTGTGTGTGTATGTGACTGAGTGAGTGTGTGTGAGAGTGAGTGAGTGTATGTGTGAGTGTGTGAGAGTGAGTGAGTGAGTGTGTGTGTGTGTGCGTGTGTGATTGAGTGAGTGAGTGAGTGTGTGTGTGTGCGTGTGTGATTGAGTGAGTGAGTGTGTGTGTGATAAAAATAAAACTCAAATAAAACAAACCAAGCAGTTGAGATGTGTTATATAGTTTATAAAGATTAAAATGTTTGCATTTACATATAGTTTACATTTTTTGACAATATAATAAGTGAGTGAGTGAGTGAGTGAGTGAGTGTGTGTGTGTGTG